ATCTCAACTAGAAAAAATTAAAATTTTAGTTCGAACTATTCATAACTGACTAGTTCACAATGAAATATTTTGATCTCAACTAGTTCAGATTGAAATGCGTAAAATTAAAACTTCTATGCACAACTGAATGAGTAGATATGATTTGAAATGGACAGGTCTTTGTTTTTGAAAGTTCAAATAGTAAATACAACAACAATAAATAGTAACTTCAACAACAATAAATAGTAACTTCAACAACAAAAGTCATAAATCTATCTTTGTATAATGGAGCAAGCGTTCTACACGAAAGTGAATGAATTCGTGGCAACATTAGATGTGAAAAAACAAAGCAAATATTTGATTAAGACGACGGTTTACAATGAAGTCGTGGAGATTCTGAAGGGCGTCGAAGGAAAACACCAGGCACAGCTCAAATTCTGGGCAAAGAAACACTTTGCTCTGGTGAAGATAGGTGAACAAGATGTTTTGTACCCATCAAAACAAAAATTACCGGTGGCGACATTTGAAAATTTATTTGAAAAAGTCAATGAATGTCACACAGCTGTTGGACACTTGGGCAGAGATAAAACGTGGCATGAAGTAAGCTTAGATGTCTAAACGAGGTCCATGAGTTATTTTTTCATCTCTTATATAAGATTAATCGTCGTTATTCTTTCATACCACTCAAAGTCGTGACAATTTTCCTTGAATTATGCGACCATTGTGTCAATCGAAAGATTTTTCCAAAGCCGGTGACTGGAAAACCAATAATATCGGTTGGATTTATGACAAGAATGCAAATTGATTTAATAGACATGAGAACTGCTGAACACAATGGTTTTAAATGGATATTTCACGCAAAAGATTATTTTTCAAAATATTCTTGGCTTTATCCATTAGTTACAAAAGAAGCAATTAATGTTGCTGAAACATTAAAATCTATATTTTATCAATTCGGACCACCAAGAATTTTGCAGTCGGACAATGGCCGCGAATTCGTGGCCAAAGTCATTCTTGCTTTAACAAAATTATGGCCGGGATTGCTGATAATTAATGGACGGCCGAGACATCCTCAGTCACAAGGATTAGTTGAAAGAGGCAATGCCGTCGTACAGCAATTACTGGGAAAGTGGTTAGATGAAAATGTTACCACGGATTGGCCATCGGGACTTGGTCCTGCTATGTATGCTATAAATATAAGTGTAGCTCGAACTATTAATCAAACACCGTTCGAAGTAGTTTTCGGACAGCAACCACGGACGGATGACTACACTTGGAAATGCATTGAAACTCATCTGAAAACCAATCAACCGATCGAACCAAGTCATGTTATACTTGAAGAAGACTTACCAGATGATATCTTCGACATGATAAAACAAGTAGATGAAATTGAAGGTCCACCGATTGATCCACAAACGAACAATTCTAATGAAGAACCAACATGTACCAATGTAGCATCAACAACTAATACGAACGATCAACAACCACAGAATAATAAAGAAGAAATACGTTCAGATTTCAACATAGATCATGAAGAACTTGTTGATTCAACCACCTGCCTATCCAACGTTCTTGAATCAAAAGCTGCATCCATTGCTGTTAATCGTCACAAACGAATCCGTGAAAATACTGAAGAATGTTATTTGAACAATGCTCATTCACAACTTACTAAATATATTAGCAAGTCCTCTAAACGACAACGAACTTATCATGTTGGTGACATTATTGGCTTGAAGGTATCCGATGTTGATCGTACAAATACTTCTTCGACAATACTTCCATGTAAAATAGTTGATTCCAAAGATCAAGATGGTGAAGTTTTCTATAATGTTGCAACCATGAATGGTATCATAAAAGAAAGTTTTCAATCAATAGTTTTTCTAGATATTACAGCATCCAATTTCACTGCATTACGAATTCTC